CCCCCCCAGCTCCCACCGCCCCATCATCCTGCACCGCGACCTCAAGTCACCCAACCTGCTCGTCACCAAGGACTGGAGGGTGCAGGTGGGGCCGCCCGCGCCCTTGCACGCGCGCCCTTGCCCGCGCCCTTGCCCGCGCCCGCGCCCGCGCCCGCGCCTGCGCCTGCGCCCGCGCCCGCGCGTCGAGGGCCCTGCCCCTCGCGCTCCGGGCGGCGCACCTGACACATTATGCTGCTATCCCTTGGTGTGCCGCGGCCCCTGGCTCTCCCCGTCGCGGGTGCAACGCACCCCCTCAACCACCACCCATCACCACCCACCACCAATCGCCCCCAACCCCCTCACATCCTCCGCCCAGGTGGGTGACTTTGGACTGAGCCGCTACATGGCAGTCCAGGAGTCATACGTCAACTCATCCCTGGAGAACAACCCCAGGTGGTCCGCACCAGAGGTGGTGGCAGAGGGACGCTTCAGCAAGGTACGCAAGGAGGGAGTCGGGTGGGGCGGGCCGGGGCGGGCGCGTCGCGAGGGGCACCGCGGTGCATGCGTCTTGGGGTGGCGCTGGGCCGGGCGCGTCGACTGGCGCGTCCCGTCTCGCGCCAACCCACCTTGTTTGTGTGCGCCCTGCCAAGAGCGCCCCCAGGCGTGCCGCCGCAGGGCGCCGGTGCCCGCCGGCCGGCTCACACAGCGCGTGTGCTTCTACCACGCCACACTGCGCCACGCCGTGCCACGCCGCACCACATGCTACAGCATCCTTCAGCGCCCCCATCGCTGGTGGCCCCTGCGAGCCCCCACGCACTCGTCTACAACACTCCACACGCCCCTCCCCCCCGGCCCCTTCCCCAGGAGGCTGATGTGTACAGCTTCGGCATCATCCTCTGGGAGCTGCTGACCTGGCAGGTGAGCGAGCCCCTGGGAGCAGCAGAGATGCACGCGCCGACCAAACAACCCAGCAGGCGCCGCCCCGCAAGCATCGCCCCGCGCACCGGCGCCGGTCTGGCCGTCTGAATCCCAGCCTCTCCTTTTCTGCCCTGTGCGCGCGCAGGAGCCGTGGTCGGCCTACAATTCGTTCCAGATCATGATCGCCCTGAGGGACGGCGTAAGGCCCCAGATCCCGCCGATTGACGAGCTGCCGGGACAGGTGGGCGCTAGCACAGCTAGATCCCAGGCACGCGCGAAGGATTCCGCCCTTTTTGCGGCGGCCCGCTTGGGACGGGGGGCCGACGCAGAGGGGCTCGGCGTGCCGAAAACGCGGCTTGCGGGGCGCTTGCAGGGCGGCGCGCTTGCTTGCTCGCCCGCCGCGGCTGGGTCTGAGGTGGCGAGGAAGCGTGGAAGCGACGGGTCCGGCAAGCACGGCGGGCACAGGCGGCGGGTGGGGCGTGTGCGCGTGCCGTGCGGTCGCCTGGCTGGCGGCAGGCGCGGGGCGGGTGGGATTGCGGGGGCGAGCGTGGACGGCGGCCCCACTTGACCATGCAAAGCACGAGCGCCGCCAGCATGCAATCCTTCTCATCCCCCCCCCCCCATTTGAAACAAACAACAATCTAATCCCCCCCAGACTGGCTCGCCCTGTGCTGTCGCGGAGTACATCCGCCTGCTGATGGAGTGCCTGGACGAGTGAGCAGGGCGGGGGGCATAGCGGGTGTTCTTGGGCCGTTGATTCAGACGAGGGGCCCCACCCACCCCGCGCGTTGCGTCAGCAGGGGGGCTGGACGCGCGCCGCGCGCGCTGCGATGCCGCTCCCGGTGGCTCGGTGCGTGCCTCGCACCGCCCCCGCACCCATGCCCCCAACCCCTCGCCACCCATCGAAACCCACCCCCTCCCTTTGACCGCGCGCGCGCAGGCTGCCCGCGGCGCGCCCCACCTTCGAGCAGATCATCCCCCGCCTCAAGGCCATCCTGCTGCATGGAAGGCAGGGGGGCGCGGCGCTCAACCCCCAGAGTTTCACGTGGGCCGCGGCGCCGGGGGACGTATTGGGAGGGTCGCCGCCGGCGACGCCGCCAGCGGCGCGGCACGAGCAGCAGCAGCAGCAGCTGCCGCACCGGCCGCCGCAGCAGCAGCAGGAGCCGCAGCAGGC